ACTATTATGCTGTAATGCATAATGCCATTACTGCCATAATGTAATGCATAATGTCATTACTGTATGCAGTAATGACTGCAGAACATAAGTACCAGATGTAAGCCAAACAGAATGAATCTGTGTGTGTCGTGCCTAGACCATGTAATATGTCCCAAGAACCAGAGTTCATGAAGGGATGTCTGAACTACTGTTCTTGAAATTCTCTGAGTAAGAAAAATAAAGACTGTCTTCTACCGTGTCACAGCAGACCTTAACCATGACAGTGGTGGGGAAAAAAAAAAAAACAAACCCACAGCTATTACAGCTTCTTTCAGCATGTCCCAGCACTTTCCTAAGCTTTTTTTTACTTTGCTCATATTCAGCTTTCCTCAAGCTTTCTACAATAAGATCCTTTGGTCACTTCCTAATGATCCTGACTTAATTCTAACAAAATAACATTTTATCAGAATGAAAATGAAGCAAAAAACCAGATGGATTGTACCAGTCTGACTGAAGCTCATGAAACAATGACAGCTCATTCGGACTGTAAGCAGAACTTGAAATACATTAATTGCTTGAACAAAAAGATTGGTCAATCAAACCAACCAGAATAAAAACAACACATTCAATTTTGATGGTGAGACTGTAAAACTATCTCCCTAACACACAGCCTTTACTGGGAATGAAAGAAAATACAATTACCAAGATACATTAACACTTCACTAGGTAGTAGAGAAAACAACGGGATCATTAGTCCAGCAGATTAACTTCTAACAAAACATATTCAATGACAGTGTGTTTTGAAAGCACAGTCAGTCTGCACAGATACACTTCTTAATGCCCCCAGTTTTGGGATAACAGTCTTCTCTAAACTTACACAACATCTACTAGAATAATAGCTCCTCTCTCTTGCATATAAGGTGATAAAGAGGGTGGAAGTGATAGAGAAACTCTTCAAACTACCACACTCTCAAATATACATTAGAAACAATACAAATACACCAAAAAGAAATATTTCTTGAACTAAGTTTGAACTGATCTTTACTCTTACATGACAGAAGTAAAACAAGTCAGTTGGAACACAGATTCAGCTGACGTCCATGCAATTCCACGTTTTTGTGGCTGTTTTTATGTAAATCAACAYGACCACTTTTATCACCAGTTATTAAATAAAGCAACCCATTTATAACATACTTACTTATAGTACACTGTGCTGACAAACTTAAAAACCAAGGTCTACAAGAGAACCAACAGCAAGAGCTTACATCATACTTTTAACATCACTGCACCTACTCAAACTACCAAACCTGAGAAGTTAAAAAAATTTCCTTTTCCAGGAAGCATGCTGTCTCAAAACTAACAGAACTACAACTAAGTTTGACTACTCTTGTCTCTCTGTTTCCAGTAGAAGTTGTCATTTTCCTCTGTTTTCAAAGCTTCAGAAAACTTATGAATTTTCAGAAAACATTCTTGATGAGAATATTTAATCTCATACCATGAGACTCATTACCGCTTCTGTGACTGTACACTAATAAAATGAAGTGCAACACAAATCATCTATGACTCTACTTTGGCTCAGAGGCAACTGGGCAAGCATTCACGAATTTCATGCCTTTGGGAAAAAAAAATCCCACTCTGACTCAAAGGAAGAACAATTGTAGTAACATTGTTTCAGTGCAACTACMACAAACAAGCAAGAGGAAAGGACACACACAAAAAGGATCACTGGCTTGACGGTTTTGTAAAATATACACAGAGAAGATCACACACAAAGAGTGAAAGTGTGAGAGAGAACCAAATACGTATCACAGAACGAAGCAGAAAGTACACAGTGATTTCTCCATGTGAAAAAAGTGTATCTGTACACATTTATCCATTTGTAAATCTACACAGCAATTTCTATAAATAGATGATTGCACACAGAGATCCTCTCTCTATCTCACTTTAGTTCTCTCTGTGGCACACCTATTTCTTCACTGTAAAAGCGCATGGCATTTAGGGGCTCAGGGATTTGAATAACAAAAGCCTYCAATTTATAAATGAATGGAATAGATAATTCTTCCACCTGCTAGTCCTGAAAACCCACTCCAAGACTTGAAAGTCAAGCTGTGGTATTTCTTATTCAAGTATCACTTCCGAAAGAGCTGTTCTAACTGAAATGCAGCTAAATCTACTATTGAAAAACTCCTGAAGGAGACTATCTCCTAATTCTTTACTTCTTAGAACCTGTAAGAGAGATAAAAAATTACATCAAGTAAATCTATACAAAGAAACAAAATTCATAGCACCAGCAGACAATTCCCATTATCTCAAATGTCAATAAATTAGGGTAGTGCTCATACAAACAACAGGGTCTAGCAGGCCACAAGAATAGCACATGTAAAAATAATTAAACAGGCAAAAGGAATGTAACTGAGAGGCAAAAATGCCCAACCAAACCATAAAATTAATGCTGTTGAATTGGCAAGGAATCTCAAAGCCAGCTGTGGATACAATCAGAAAGAAACGCTTTTTCACAAGTTTTCATGAAGCACCTAGACATGCACCAGGCTAGATATGCTTCATAGGCAGTGTAACYACTTAAGAMAAATTCTCTCTTGAATCAGTGGACCCAAAACTTTCACTTAAACCCAGCAGAAGATTCAGTTGAAGGAACTAGATTCCCTTCAAGTCTTAATCCATAACCTGTTCTTTAGGAGTCCGTAATRCCTGGGAAGCTATACAACACTTGAGCAGCTACCACCAGCACTCTTAGAACAAAAGAGAAGGCAAGTTAAGCCAAGTAAGCAGCTATTCTTCCAGTCTTTACATGCAGCTGCATCTAAGGCTGACTGAGCCTGTGATGATAGTGCTGGTGAGATACAGCTCAGAACAYGTAAACCCAGGTAGTGCCTTAATTAATCCAAACCCTTTTCTACAGCAGTTAGGAGAACCTGCGCTGTCTATACTGGATTTTCTTCTCACAGTGTTAAACCCAGTAAATTTTGTATTTTACTTTAGTCAGTGAATTACCAGTACAAGGGAGCAAAAGGCAGGTCCACCTTTAAGAGAACTGAAGAAATGTGCGGTGAGCCTTTCCCAGGAGATATCAATAGAGTAGACTCTGAATTCCCACCACTCAGAAGACAGAACCAGCCGGACAAAGCAGGGTATCTGGGCCCATTAAGAATAAGTAAGCAGCCTTGAAATTTCACTGCTGGCTTTTTCATTTCACAATGCTGTGACACACTGATTTGGCTACATAGCGGGCATTAAATATTAAATATTCCTATAATAAATCAAACATAACTGCATATATGGCATGTACTGAGATACCATACATGTGATATGCTGAGATAACATGTAATGCTGCTTTAAAATGTCTTTCAAATTTTTCAACAAATCCAGTAYAGCACTAAATATGTTTGAAAAGCAGGAAGGCATCCAAACATATAAACAAATAAACTAGTGGCATACATGTATTTCATGCTTCTTGTGAAATCTGCCAATTGTCTGTCTTCAATTGGCCACACAGCCAAACCTCTAAAAGGTATTTGTAGGTCTTCACACAGTTACAAACCCAATTTGAGTAAGAATCATTAAGACAATTTGACAAAAAACCAACACTCAGCATAAAAATRTATAAGGCCTATTTGGATTCTCAGTTAAGGCTACGTAAGAGTAAAAAAATTATTTACAAGAGAGGGGTAATATTTATAAGATAACTYAGCATTTTCAGCTACCACAAGCAGMAGACATGAATATATCTTTACTGCAGGAACAGTTTTTTTCACTGATGTGAAAGAGGCTACTTGTTTTTCCTATTTTAAACTCTCTGCTGTTAGCAAATAGCTGTCTTCTTCCTTCTGAAAAATAAAAATCAGACAATAAATACTTAAGGCTTAGGAAATGCCAACTTTAYTAAGCCTCTATCCTGCCTGCTTGCTTTATGCCAGCCTTTTAGCCAGCAGAAGAAAGATTTATGCACGTTCTCCAAAGATAATACATAAGCCAATACTTAAGGTMCTTTCAAAGTCAGAAGCACATAATAATTTAACACCACACCTCGTATGTCTCAAAACGGCGTAAGGTGTACTAGCACACAAAGCTATGAACTTGTATACATTTTTCGTTCTCCTTGTGATAGGGCCATATACTTAACTAAAATAAACACCAGGTCACAAAGAGTGACCATGATGTGAAAGCTTGTCAGTCTTTTGCCCACTGTTGGTACAACCCTTTAACTTTTACTCAGCATTTGCTATTTACAAGTCTTTTTTCTCCCTCCTGACAATAAYGAAAATGCTACACAAACAGAAAAGGCCATTCCTGTACTAACAAATGTCAGCTAGCCCGTTAAAAAAAAAAWAAAAATAGTTACGCAAACCTGTCCCTTTAAGAACAGCGAACAAAGYAGGCTATCTTAAGTTGTCCATATAAAGAATATCTGTTCCCAATAAACGATCGAATACTTGAGAGCAAGCTGAAAGTGCCTTTAAGGGGGGAAAAAGAGAAGAATAGAAGGGCTGGACAAAAGAAAACAACATCTTATAAATCGAGGCAGAGTAATAGGCAGGGTCTGGTTTTAAAAAGCCACCTCCAAGGGCCTCGCAAGGAGAGGCTCCCAGCTCGGAGCAGCAGCAGGCAGGAGGCCGCGGGTCCCTTCTGCCGCCCAGCAGGAAACCAGCGCACCTGGAGCGSCCGGCCTGCCTTACCTCTGAGTCCGCCGGAGCCGGCTGCCCCGCCGCAGGTGGGGCAGAGTGAAGTTGGAGAGCAGCGTCCAGAAACTGGGATCCGACATATCCATTTCAATGCTTGAAAGCTTGGGAAGCTTAAAAACTCAGTGCCATAGTACGACGAGGAAGAGGAGGAAGGGACAGCAGCCCTGGGAGAGAAAGCGGGACGCCAGCCAGCCTCCGAGGGGGCGGAAGGAGAGCAGAGATAACAGCAACTCGAACCGACAGAAACTTTTCCGTGCGGCTGCTCCGCGGGTGCCGCCCCGCCCCGGCCATTGGCGGCCGCGCAGCTCCGCCCGCCCACCGCGGGTCAGAGCCCCCCGCCCGCACCCGGCCCGGCTCGGCACAGGAGCAGAGCAGAGCCCCCGCGGCTCGGCACGGCCCGGCACAGCACGGCACACCCCCGAGGCTCGCAGCCTCCCGCAGAGCCCGCCGGCTGCGCTCCGAACTGCCGCGGACCGTAAGCCAAGCGCCAGTGACGCTCGGTGCAGCGCACAGCGTACGTGTGTCTGCCTCTCCCGGGAGAACTGACGGTGCAGGTCCTTAATTACCGTTTGTCACACTGGCTACCTGCCACTCCGGACAGCAGGCGTTTGCCACGGAAAGCCGGGATACCTGCCTCATTCCATTGCCAGCTCCCTCTTTTGAGAAAGCAACCCCGAAGCAGGGGCTGGCAAAAGAAGTGTAAAGCTCCGAGTATCTTTTCCACTCGAAACAGTGACCTAATTCCTCAGGTACTTTGGCTCATTTCCTCCCCTTCCTCCTTCCAACTTTCTTCCTTCGATTCCCTCTTTACCATTCCCCAGCTGCCTCCCAGCTCAGCTGGTTTGCTTTCTTGTCTCCCACCTCCCAACTTTCCACCTTCACTTTCCGTTTTAGCCTCGCTGCTGACTGTTGTCCTCCATCTTTTCATACCTAATTCCAGCACCACTCTCAAGCCCTCTCCTCTCTCTCTCTGCAGCTCTGTCTAGACTAGCATTTTTCCTTCCATCTCTGCAGTATGCAAAGAAAAGTGTTTCTAAAATTACTGTTCTACTTTCTTGTCAGTCTGTAGTACAGTCTTAACTCCAGCTGTTGAAAGCAGTGATGGTCAGGTATAGAAAAAGGATTCAAAAATCAGGCGGTTTCTTTTAATGTCCTTAAAAATTTCCACTTGTTTTTTTTGTTAATCTGAGGGTCACCAAACAGAGCTGGAAGGGCTCACATGACACTTGGGATAAGACAGTTCTCATTAGACAGCTCTCACTCATACTTAGCACCAAAGGCCTTATTACAAATCCCCAGCAGACACCATTTACTGGCACGCCACACTAAACGTTAGTTTAACACTGATCAAATACAAAGGAATCCTCAAACACTTCTTTTAAAGACATCTTAATTTCCAAAGAGATTATTTTCATGTGAGAAGGGAAAACAGCCTGATCCACATCTCAGGTCAGATTTTCTTGTACAAYAAAGGCTGAAATAGCTGCAGAAGCTGGTACTTGGGCTGATGTCCATTTGCGCCCCACAGGAGGGCACTTCGCAGCATGACTGCTCTTTTTGTACCTCTCCATTAAGACTGAGTATTCGCATCTGCTGCAACCAGTAAAAGAAAAATTCTCATCCATTTATTTTCACTTTGAGGCATGCCTGAGCATACTGAGCCATGAAGTTTTAAAGGTTCACATGAGGGCAAGCATGGCTGGAAACACCCCTTCCTTAAAACCACTTAAGAAACAAATTCTCAAATCTCTACATAAGTACCAAAAAAMCACCTCCTCCAAATATTCTGCAACTTTATCTTCTCTGCTACATACACATGTTTTTGCCTATAATTAATGTGTTTGGACAAAGAACTGTCACAATCATGAAAGGGAATTACACATAAATGATGTGAACAGCAGCATGGGCTAAAGATTAAAAACGAAGTCTTTCACCTATCACACGGGAGAAGCTTTGGTGTCACTCCTGCCCTGCAAGTTCTCCCCTCACCTCACTACTTTACTTAAGAGGCAGTTGAGAGCAACGAAAGCAGCTCGGTTTCCATAATTCAATCAAGCACGTACCTTGTGTTATGATCATGGGACATGGAGGTCAAACTTTATTTCACATTAGGACCAAAAATTACCAATCTTTTCCAAGTCCATAACCATAACTGAACTCATTATTTCTTTGTGAAAATCTCTACCCCTTTATCAAAATGATGTGAAGCCTCCAATTCTGAAACATGCCCTAAAAGCTTTTAAAAATTAAGCAAGACTAGCCTATCATAATGTTGGCAAAGACCCACCAGAAAAAAGATGATTGCTGTTTTCAAGTAGATGACAGAAATAAAGTTTACCTTCTTTGTACAGCCAGAGATGATTATACCAAAAGTGATTACCCAGACCGAGCTACCGCAATATATATTTCACTATCTGAAAAGCTGGGTTTTTGCAAAAGCAGAAAGGAGAAAAAATAGCATAAAAGAAAGGATAAATTCTAGGCAAATTTCTTGTCCACATAGTATCCAGTGGGTATCATAATGTCGTGGGTTTAGGAATGGTATTCCCTGGTTTAGGGCTCCCACTGAGACTCTTCCAACCATACAACACTCATTTCCCTCTCCCCCTCCCCCTCTGTGCTCCTGCAGCAGAATGGAGAGGAGCTTTAGAGACACAAAACACAAAGACCAAAGGTTTAGGTAAGAGCGATTTACAGGAAACAAGAAGATTAAAAATTGAACATTACAGCAGCAATACTAACAAAAGAGTGTATAAAACCCAAACTATTGACAGACAGGTTCTCATACCCCAAGAATACCTGCAAACATGTCCTTAACAGTATTTGTTGCTTAAGTTATCTGCTATGCAGCCTCTTGGAAAACAACAAGCAGCTCAGGCAACTTCACCTCTAAGGAGATGCTTCACTGTATAACTTGGATGATGACTCTTATTTACCACAAGATGTTACATAAGCTAGCACATAACAAAACAAGTGATGAGGATCATTAAGTTTTCCCTTTTATATTCACCTGAAGATAAAAAACATCACATCGCTCAAGTCAGAAAAGGAGCTTAATCTACCCTTGCTTTGAAAAAAATTACATTTCCAAAAGCAAACTTATAAAAGGCATCCTCAGAAAAGTCTCATTCAATATATGAGAGAAAAAAAAAATGAAAAAGTCAACATTTACTTCAGTAATTAAAAGCAGTAAAAATTCTTCCCCAGTAAGTTTTTAACTGTATAACACTGCTTATTGATTTTAAGTATCACCATGAAATACTACTTAGCAAGTGGAAAGTGTATCTTTAAAATCCCAATGAAATACCAATACTAAATGAATATTTTGCACATAATATTCCAATGCAAAAGTTATCTAATCCACCGTCTTCACGCTGATAATTACACGAATAAACACTGGAATTTTTCAAAACGTATGAAAACCTTGAGAAGAAACTGCCCAAGGGCATTATAGAATGCTCAAGTCTCATCTATTTTATAGGAAGATGTACACTGAATGTAGTTCACAAGCAACAATAGAGACAATAAAGAGTTCTTTAGAGATACTACAACAAGTAAAATCTCACAAGCATAGGCCTCATACTGAAAAAGTTGAGTAGATTTGTGAACCAGGAAAGAAAAACTGTTAACTTAAGGTACCTTCTCTATTTTCACAGGCTAGGAAGATTATGAAATAGCATCTTTTAGCAACAAAGAAATGCTTCTCATTTCACCAACATCTTAGAAGAACAACAGATTAGAACTGAGGTCACACATCAACTTAGAGGAGTTTTGCTTTGGTTTAGGTGAGTCTTTTCAGTCAGGTAATTATTATCCAATGAGTAACAAAGGAATCAGCAAAGCTCCTCATTCAATTATTGCTACTTTCAAAGTGTCTTGGAATAGCAGGAAGTTTTACAACAGTTGGAACTAAGCTATCATGCCAAAACACTCCTTTAAAAGGGCAAACAGGATATTAGCTGCCGCCAGCACTGAATTTAGGTACGGTAACTTATTTATTGTCACATGAAATAGTCTGCCTGACAGTGTTTCAAGTGAGATTGCCAGTCTGGTCAATAACCATCTCAGCTGACAATACATTAAGACACTTGTAAAATATTCCACTTATCTCCTACAATGTTTTAGTAAGTTCACTATCACAATRGAAAAATTTATGCATAAAGGAAACATTAAAATACACCTACAGATTTGAAAAAGCAACTGCACATAGAACATTTCTAGTGGATCATACAGGGTTATATTTTTCATTGAACACAAGTTTAATCCACTTCTATCAATGACCTGGGAAAAAATATGGTAACTTTCTAACAAACAAGACATAAGAGGTAAGTAACTACAGGAACAAGGTCATTTATCATTGGATAAAGCAGCCTAATTTGAACAACATGCATTATAGCCTTGCTAGTCATCAAGTCATGTCAAAGGACAAAAACACTCCCCAAATAATAATATACCTACATATTTCAGAATCTGGAAGGCAGACACCAGGCAAAGAATTTAGGTACTATCATAGATAAACAGCTAAATTAAATTAGACCTCTTAATGTGATAGTATAGATAAAAGAATAAATGTCCCTCAGTTCTACAACAGGAAAATCTCTCATGGGARCACAGAGATGATACCACTGAACACTGAGGGACTAAATTGCACCTAGTTGTGGCCTTTCCCAAAGGTTGCAAAACAGGCATGAGGAGTTCAAGAAAAATACATTAGAATCTGAACTATAGTGTGGAGATTGAAAAGAATTTATTTATTTGATTAATCAGGTCTGTCAGATTACCTTGGTCATTCAGTAGTTTTATCCCCAGCAGGAAGAGATTTTCCTTAGGAAACTATGTGTTAGAACAGCAAACTCCATCATGCTCCCCCCTCACACACCAAGGGGTTCAATCTGAAGGAGTCAGGCAAAAAAGCAATTTAAAATTCTTTTATCTTATCCACTGYAACAGGGATTTTCCATCACTGTAAATACTGTATATTATATGAGTTTCTATCAAAAAAAATAATCACACTTCAAACAAGCACTAAAGGATGGGTAAAAATCCCAAAGCACTTGACAAAGTCTAGAGCCTATTTTATAACAGCTGTCAAATGAAAAGATCTCACTGGTATATTCAGTACTTAAAATGTACCACTTAATTATTATTACTACTCCTAATTACAATAATTGAAATCTTGCTCCCCCTAGTGGTTGTTGTTGATGTTTATTACCTTCTTGTGACTGCACAGGATTTTCACTGTGGGATGTTCAGCGCAAAAATAAGTTGAAGAAACCACAGTACGAAAGAATATATTGTGGGTGTATAATGTATGTCTGCCAAATTTCTAAGTTTTCTTGGATATGTTTACAAATATACATATACATAAACACTATTACTCTAACCAGTTTTGAAGTAATGTGCAAAATATAAAAACATCTCCCACTGTTCTAGTTTATTATACCTCAGCTAATATAAACATATTTAGGAAAAGCAATGGCCCCAGTATCTCCCCCCGTTTCTGAAATATACTTGTAATTTAAATAGATTGTCTATCTGCATCAGACAGCAGAATTCACATCAGGCAACACTATTTTTAATCCAGTATTTTGCTGTCTGTAGTGGAATGAGTCAATCATGCTAGTAACTACGCTGTCCTATTTACTCTGGCCTAGAGATTARCTTCTCCTTCTGAGCTAATTTAGCAAACCAACTAATGAGAAAGTGTAAAAGAACCGTTTCCCATTTTTATCACTCAGTTTTCATTTATCTTAGCAAGTAGAGCAGCATTACTACTTTTCAGAAGTGCTGCTTTATGTCGTAAGCAAGTCCAGAGAGGGTCATAAAATATTAATAAAGATGTCATAATTTTCCAGATACCATGAGGCTTGGACATTGACTTCATTGCAAAAAAATGCCASAGGATGGGGAGAGGAATACTGTATTAAAAAGCTAGTATTATTCTATCTTGCTTTGCTTATTCTTCAAGTACCTTTTTTGCCAGCACTTGGAAGCATCCTAAGAGGATCACATAAGTTTTTCAAATCATTAATTAACCCTTTTTTTGTGGCTTCAGTACCACTGATATAAATGGGAAGRCACCCATGTTATCCAACAGATATGCAAAGAGCCATAATGAAGTCTTCCATGGTTTTGGGCATTCATGTGAAACAATCACCACTTCAGACTTATYTCCTTGTACAGCTTTAGATGACTCTACACACTTCGTTGTTCTCCTGATATCACCCATTCAGCCATATTTTACAAGCATCTTCTTAATCTAACAGCCACAGCCTGTGTGGCAATTGGCATTACAGGGTCAAGGTGCAATTACTAAACAATTTCTTAAGAAAATGTGGATACAATCATTCTTCTAAAACAGTTACGTACTTAGATGTTTTCATCCACTCTGCATCACAGCTGCAATCAACTAAGCCATATTTTTTGAGGAAAAATACTAACTCAATTGTAGAAAGCCCTTTTTTTAAGTGAAGCTTTTTTTGTTTTTACATTGTTAAGTTAAAATTATGTTTCTAATAGTTTGAAATCAATCTGGTACTCTGTACAAAGCAGACTTACATACAGCACATAATCTTTTTCTACTTTTTAAAGATGAAAATATTCGTCTCTGATTTTATTACAGGAAACAGACTATTTAAAATAGCTTGAAACACATAAAAAACATAAAAATAAGAATAAAAAACAATAAAAAACCCATAAAAAACAATAAAAAAAGACTGTTCAGCATTTCTGAGTCTGTCTGGATTTGTTTCATTTTAATAACTTTCTAATTATGAAAAACAAAGTCCAAAACCCACAACCTTCAAAAGGCAATTAAGTGGAGCATTYTGTCCTGCCACCAGAGCACTCTGGTTTGAAGAATCCCAAATAACATACTCCTCTGAGAGGAATGTTACCCCTCATACAGAGCCATTTCCTCATGTTCAACTCTGCCCCGGGACATCCCAGTGCCATACTCACAGATTTGAGTAACAGACTTCAGAGATTCTCTATTTGTAGTCAAATGAATTAGGGAAAGAGATTGAGCTCAAGTTCTGTTTCACAGCTTTTAATCCTGACAGGTTTGGAAAGGTGTCATCATGAGTTGTAAATTTCCTCATTTTTAAAACAGCTTTTTGGGTACACGGGAGGTTTCATGGAGGTCAGCACAGTGAGGCTTTCAAGTCTGTCAATCAAAGTCTAAACAGATCAAGTCCTGTGATACTGAATTGAAAATCACTTATTCAGTATAAATGTTGTGTTCCGTGAGCCAGAAAACTTCATCAGCTGTGATATTTACACAGTGAATTTCCTAAAGTGATCACCCARTCAGCACAAGACTGACAATTACAAATCCATTACGGGTCTCTGTCAGAGCAAGGACATTACATGCTCCTCCCCACAAATGGCAATGACTCTGTTTATTTCACGTATTTTAAACACACAGTTTTCTTTGAAATCATGATTTAAATCACAGTGAATAAAAACCAGGAGTCAAGAATTCAAAGCTCTGCAATATATACCCAAGCAGTTGCATTTCCTGAGCTTTCCCTGCACTCATCTGGCTTCATGTCTCAGTTAATCCATGTGATGGATCTGTTGTCAGCAGAATGGTGTGAGATGGAGCACCCCATGCAGAGCAAGCTAGCAAATTGGAACTCAGGTACACAGGAAGTTCAAAGGGAAAATATTATCTTTAGAAGGCTATTATGGGGACTGCCCATTAATGTTACCCTTGGTATTTCAAACAATAAGCTGAGCACACAGCATTGCAAGTTGATAACATCCTTAAATCACTTTACAGGTCACCCTTAATGCTCTCCTCCTCAAAAGGCTAAATAATAAACACACTGGCATGCTTCACCACACACCTCCCGTTTAAATCTGAATTTCAACAAACATAATTACACTCAGCACATACTCTTATATCTGTGGAGTGTACTGAACAGTTAACTACCCTGTCCCTCAGACACATAGATGACATGGCTGCCAAGCACATCACTGGAAGCAGCAGCATTAACACAGTGAGAACGTAATTTACAGAAAAAAAATTAAAACCAAGCATCTAGAATTGCAAGACTAGTAAAGATTTTTTTAGTTAGCTATGCTTGTCAAAATGTGAGAGGAAATTCTCAAAATTAAAGACAAAAAATTAAGAATTACCTCATGGTGCCTCAGGGTCTAAGACCCAGTGCCATCTAGTTATTTAATCTGTTTGCACTTCAGGTCTCAACCTGTAAAGCAAAGATATTCCTACTTCTTGGGAGTGCAGTGAAGATAATTCCAGAACCTGCATCAAATGCTCAGATACAAAAAAGAGGAAGGAAAGAAGCTGAGAGTAATAGGGACGTGTTCTTCGGGCTGACCACTGTACAGATTCAGCAGTACTGAATGGTTTCTACAATTCCAGCCTCCTGTATAAGCAAAAACCATACAAGCATAAGTTGTAAAGGATTCAAACAATCAAGAAACAGTCTTAAATCTGTCTGATACACACATCAGGGAGAATGACAAGAGTCAGGGAGGACATCACGATAAGCCACAGAATTTCACCCTCTACTTCCTAAGACAGGCAATCACATTTCTGTTTAGTTTTGTAGGACTGAGAGTGTATGTCAGCTCCCTCCAAGAAGCTACAGTCAGCACCTGAATCACCACCAAGACTGTCAAAACTATGTAAAACAAGAAGCAGAGGATCAGCACAGCCCACATTAACTGTTTTAGGCCTCCAGCATCCTGAAGAACTCCATCATAGTAGAAATGAGGTGATTAACTGTTCAGCTTTCAAATAACAGTTCAAACCACTAAGTGTCCTAATTTCTCTGATACCAGACAAYCTTATTATTCCACTCATGTAACTGCAGAGGATGTAAGTTCATGGAAATATCAATATCCTGATACAAAAGATACTTGAAAGCATTTACCACTGCAAATATACATACTTCCAGCAATAAAAAAATGCCAAACCTATCTCAAAACCTTCACCTTTCAAACACCTCTCCTTTGACAGTCTCCAGTCACATCTGGACATGGCTTACCATGAATTTTAGTGAGCCTGAATTAGGTAAATTTATATGGTTTGTTTCTTTCAAATCATCATACTAATTTTTCTCAGTATTTTTCTTTTTTCCTGGTAGAGGGCTTGGTTCTTTTAAAAATTATGCAACATCTATTAATAATCATGCTTAATATTGATGAAGAATTATCTCAGCCTATTCTCCATTCTGCTGTTCCTCAGCATTCACACTTGCACACTTGTACATACACACAAGAAGAGTGACATCATCAGTCCAGTGACAGACTGTGCGTGGAGAGTCTAAAAACTCTCTAGGCAAAGAAACAGCAGTATGAAGGTGAAGGGGAAGGTGAAGGAGGAACACACCAGTCTGCTCATAATGAAAGACTGGCTTCCGCTGATCAGTACATACACCAGCATCTGCCATGATACCCTTCTCTCAGGTACTACATCAACTTCCAGAAATATTTCTACATTTTATCAGCTGGAAAAGTTACACAGAATTAACAGCCTCCCCAAACTCAACAGCATGTGTTCCGATGTATTTGCCAACACAACTAAAGCAACCACTCTGTAACTTCTAAAACATGACAAGAACTCCTTCCAGACTGTTGTRGCTGCACTTCACAGTCTCACAAATATGTCTTTTACAGTCTTTTTGTTGTGTGAAAGTTTCTGTCACCRTTTACTTTTCTATCAATTTGAAAAACTGCCTTCCTAGCCAAGCAGTATCATGCTATCTCCCATCAGAGTACCCCCCTTGGAGCAAACCCCCTCTCTCCTCCCTCAAGGTACGCCTTTCAGCTGTCAGACATACAAATGTTTTGCTAGGTAGCCCCGAAGCTCTGAGCTCCCACGAGTTTTGYTCTGCTGAAGTGTTACTGCGCTCAAGCTGCTAACTGCAAACCACCTTCTCCTTTCCAGCCCAGAGTCTTGCTGGTCTCTTTCTGAAAAGCAGAAAAAGCAGCCTCCACGGCTGCAGGCATGAACAGAGGGTGTGCCATGGTTTTGCTCAATGATAGCAGCTTCCTTATGGCAAGGAAAGAATTTTGCAGTCCTGGGCAAAACGCCCTCTTACAGTCTGTAAAGTTGACAGGCAGTTTGCCACAGAGTGCCCTGTGGATCTGAGCTTCAGACTGCTCTGCAACAAGTTCAGCATGTCAACATGCTTATCTAACATGACAGCATACACYCAAGCTGTACAGAATCATGTGAATACTGACACTATTGTCAGACCCCACAGGGAACAGTTACCACAGGCACACCAGCGTGTGAAAGCTGGGTTACCAGGAGATGGAGACAAGGACATCATCAAGTTGGGATCATTCCAGCATCAGGTTCTTCAACTCTTTCTGCTTCCCATCACTATATTCTAGGCCAGGAAGAGCTTCCAATACTTTCTATGAAAAGCAGTGTCCTAGCAGTAGATGGAAATGCTTCCTCAGAGATGTCAGGACTACATTCACTGGATTTCTGCGCACTTACAAGTGCTCGGTTGCATCTCATCTCACACCAGAGGATGAAGACATTTGGGTAGCTGACCAGTCTGTGCCCCCAGATCATGCCATGAGGTGTCCTTCTCCCACAATATCCATGGAAACTGCTCTCCTGTTACAAGCCATGGGACTATTTGCTGAATAGGTCTTCAGATCAGGAGCACGAATCTTCCCTGTTCTAACCACTGATTCACCTCACGGATCAAGACAACAAACTAGCCAAAACTGGCATCAGGAAAGGCTACAAAGTCTCAAATACAGCAGTTTAGTGTTGTTCTTCAGTTTTCTACAGCTGCAAAGCACTGCCTCCAGGAACCTACACATGTGCTTTCTTTCTGAAATGGTTGGTGGCAAGCAAGAATAGAAAGAAGATCTCTGAAAMACAAAAAGACTGGGAAGATTTTTACTTCTGGGGGGCTCAGTCTCAGGCGTTTTCATTCCTACTTATCACTTTGTTTCCACAACGTWCATTTTTAAAAGGTTTTCAGAACTCTGCAGCTGTGAAACTGTTGCTTCTATAGTGCTCAAGAATAAGCTACTACCAAAGCAAGACACCCTAAGGGATCACCAACTTTCAATGCAAAGCAATTSAGCCGGCACAGCAGTGAAAATAAGTTGTGTTGTACACGAGAAATAATGAAGCCCTCACAAAAGGGCACTGCAGGGATACCAGTGCCTTTTCAATGTTCACCTCCTTCTGCATTCCTCACTTAAAATCTTTTGAGAGTCTCAAAGCATTTCATCTGCTGGAGYTGTGTGTCATAGGGAAGGTTGATGCACACAGCGCTGGTTTCTGTTCTGTTCCTATTTTTATCAAGGTGAGATAAAATGATGCAGATGCAACACAGTGCTGCAGTGCTGGCACTGAGCAAGGTTGAGAATTTCCATTGCAAGAATATAACTGCAGGACTTTTTTCTGGCAACTCACACAAGAAACAGCTGATATTTGTCACTGTGATACAAAAAGACTGCAGAATTTGTGATTTCTGGATGACAACAGTGGAATTGCCTCAGGAAATACTTCTCCTGGAAGTGAACCACTGACATCCCTATCAGACCAAACTTTCAAAGAATATCAGACACTTGGCAGGTTAACCTAGCAGTTTTTCCTGCTAGGAAGTTCATATCTGCATGAACTGATTGGCAACAGATTACA